ATTGCACAGATATGGAAACAGGTTTCCCAAAAGTCCCATAACTTACCCAAGGTTACATAGCTAATAAGTATCAACATGAGGCTCCACTCCCCACTGATAATGTATTGGTTAAAAGAGCTATTGGCAGTAGTTCTGAGATCTAACTGGTATGGATGTGGTTGTTTATAGACAGAATTAATAATAATATAATTAAAAGTCATATAAATATAATTGTTCTCATAAAATTTACCTTTTATTGAGTGGCAGTGGTAAGCCATTGAAATATCTAAAAACGGGTGAGGAACATCTGGCCTGTGGATGGTATAAGGCCCAGGAAATCATTTAGTCTGGCCCTGCCAAGGCATTGGAGATGAGTTAATTTAATGTTTGACCAAATATAGCAGGTTAATATTTAAGTTGATAATTTTGAATGGCCCATGAATGATGTTATAAACACCATGTTTAAAATGTTATTAAAAAAAAGATTCCCCACCCCTAATATAAAACAGGAGCGTGATATGATCAGATTCACATTTGGAATAGGGGCAGATCATTAGGTAGAAAGAACCCTGGAAACTCTATATCAGTAAGATCCAGAAAAAGAGAGCCTGAACTGAAGCATTGTTTTAGAGAAGAAGAGGAAGAAAACCAATAATGAGCTAACTCTGCATTGGCTAGGAGGATGTACATAAGGAAAGCCCTAGGAATATAGATTATATACAATTCATTATTATTCTTTCTCAATAAGTATATAATAAATGAACTGGTTCATGGCTGCATGGATTGAAGGAGAGATAGTGCTCCAGACCATTATTTCCCTGCCTGTTCTGAGTGGCAAAGGGCCAGGACTCTCCTGCCACAGTATGTTTGGTTATAGGCTTCAGCTATTACTGCATCCGAAGGCCACAGAATGGATCCTCCTTGCACCTTCTTGAACTCTTGAGCAGCTCAGTATTTCATTGGTGCCCCTTAAATTAAAAAAAAAAAAAAATGTTGACTTGTCTGTTGTCTTTTTATGGATTCAAGACAGGGTTATTACTTATTTGTTTATTGAAAAGATAAAGATATTTAAATGTCACTGGGAAGGATTCATTTGTAAGAGAGGCTGAAGTATATGTGATAAGGAAAAATCAAGTGTGTAACTTTCCTACACTAATGAGAAAATAATATCCATGAATAAAAGTTGAGGGCTTGACATTAGGTCAAATGTTACCTTTTCTAATGTATTAGAAGGGAAAATAAGAGGATGGTCACAGATCTAAATAATGCAGGAGTTTAGTAGTAGGGAGTTGAGGGGTATCTATTTTATGAGTTCTTATCCCATGAAGTACCCTGTTTCCCCGAAAATAAGACAGTGTCTTATATTAATTTTTTCTCCCAAAGTTGCACTAGGTCTTATTTTCGGAGGATGTCTTATTTTCAGGGAAACACCGTAGGTGTCAGAACAACTATTAAAGAGTGGTACAGGGCTTAAAATTTTGAGATGAGGATGCTGCTTATTCTACTTAAATTTTAATTTTTTTTCCTAGTAAATATAGTTTGGGATCTGCAAAGATGCACACAAATAATCCTATATAATAAAAGCCTAATGTGCAAATGGTTGAATGACAGGTGAAACGACCAGTCACTATGACACCAACTGTCCACCAGCTTGCAGATGCTCAATGCAGGAGCTGCCCCAGTCCACAGGCCCCAGGTCAGCTAAGGCAGGTGCCAGCGGGAGCCCCCGATTGCCCCACCAGTTGCCTTGCAGACTGGCCCTGATCACTGGCCAGGCCTAGGGACCCTACCCATGCACTGATTTCATGAATTGGGACTCTAGTGGTAAAATAAAAAGATTTCCAAAAATTAAGACCAAATGAACAAAAACAACATAAATTTTGTTTACAAGCCCTGAACATCAGATCTGGCTCTTAACTTCCTGGCTGCCAAAACAAAAGGGAGATCTAGATACTAATAAGTTGCTTGAATGTTTTACTGATTTTTACAATGTATAGATACTTTCAAATAAATTTTTTTATTTTAGATTTACAGAAAAGTTACCAAAATAGTATAGAAAATTCTCATATGCCCTGCACTCCATTTTTTGAATAATTAACATCTTACATTAAATTATGGCACATTTGTCACAACTAATAAACCCATATTACTACATAATATTAACTCAAATCTATATTTAGACTTCCTTACTTTTAACAAAACAAAAAAAGTTACTAATTACTTTTTTGCTCCAGGATCCCCTTGAGGATACACTCCATTACATTGAGTTATGTTTGCATGGGCTGCTCTAGACCATGAGAGTTCCTCATACTTATTTTTGCTGACTGTAACAGTTTTACGGAGTACTGGTCAGGTATTTGTTAGAAAGTTCTTTTAGATTTGTTTAATGTTGAGTGGAGAGTATCTTTATAAGTCATTTGTATTACCCTGTTTCCCTGAAAATAAGACAGTGTCTTATATTAATTTTTTCTCCCAAAGTTGCACTAGGTCTTATTTTCAGGGGATGTCTTATCTTCCCATGCGCTAGGTCTTATTTTCGGAGGATGTCTTATTTTTGGGGAAACACAGTAGTTGGCCTTCACCTCACCTGTTAGTCTTGCACTGGGGTTTTTGATGACCTGAGAAAAAGCCCAAGACTGACCTCCAGTGGCAATCCGTGCTGCTGTCCAAGAAATAAATGGCTGTTTGTTGTCTTGAGATAAGCTGGAACCAGATAGTTGAGAAAAAGTAACACTCACTGCAAGGCAGTTTTTAGTTGATTATTTATTGGTAGTTAATAGCAAATCTCAACCTCTCAATGATATGAGTAGAGATGTTTCTTTCAAGAAGTTACCCCAAAATATATATTTTTTCTGTCCTTCTGAAATTTGAACCACTTGGAAAGAAAAACTGTCTTCATCATTGTCTATAGATAAGTGTAGTTCTGGATATAACTATTTCATAAATGTCTCTTCCACTTAAGTAATTTCTTCTTAATAATGCAATAAAATTTTTTAAGTCATTAATTTTAGTTTTCTTAAAATATTTCCTGAAGTTAACTTTCCCCCTTTTTCTTTTGTTTTCCCCCCAAAGCTTTCCCTCTCACAAAACCATATTCACATAAATTCAAAGAGACCTTTGCCCCATTAGTCTCAGAAGATGTTTGTCAACCTTTGGAATTTGGGTGTATACTATAGGGAAAAATCCTCTAATATTTTTAGCATTCTCCAGGGGATGGATCTAAGTTTTCTAGGATCTAAAGTTGGTCCTGTTTAAAAAAGAATGCAAACTATAAATACAAAGTTCAGTTCAAGACCTAGGGACCTATGCAAGCCAGAAATTTCTTACTAACAGTAAGTTGAAGCTGAAATTTCTTACTAACAGTAAGTCTTCTTAACCAGACTTGGATGAAAATTGACATTACCACTATATTAGTTTTCTATTGCTGCTGTAACCCATTACCACAAATGTAATAGCTTAGAACAACGTAAGTTTATTATCTTTAATTTCTTTAGGTCAGAACTCTGATACAAGTATCTCATTTGACTAAAATCAGGGTGAGCAGAGCTCCCTGTGTTTCTGGAGGTCTTAAGGAAGAAATCATTTACTTGCCTTTTCTGATTTCTGGAAGCCTCTTTCATTCTCTCCCTCCATCTTCAGTGCCAATAATGGTGGTTCAAGCCCTTATTACATCACATCCCTATGGCCCGTCTTCTGCCATTATATCTATCTCTAACCACAACAAGAAAGTTTCAGCTTTTAAGAACTCATGTGATTTGCTTCAGCAGGGTTCGGTGCCTGCAAAAAAGTGAAACTAGACCACATTCTTATACCATACACAAAAAAACCAACTCATAATGGATTGAAGACTTAAATATTAGACTCAAAGGCATATCCTAGAAGAAAACATATCCTATTCAAATATATCTTAGAAGAAAACATAGGCAACAAAATCTTGAACATTTCTCATAACAATATTGTTTCTGATATATTACCTCAGTGAAGGAAAATAAAAGATAAAATAAGCAAATGGGACTATATCAAACAGCAAAGGAAACCATCAATAAAATGAAGAGACTACTCACTAAATGGGAGAACATACTCACTAATGATACATCTGATAAGTGTTTAATATAAAAAATTATTAGGAACTTATAAAACTCAGCAAAACCCAAATAAATAAAGAAATTAATAATCCAATTAAGAAGTAGACAAAGGACCTGAATAGAAACTTCTCTGAAGAAGACATACAGATGGCCAATAGACATATGAAAGGATGCTCAACATCACTAATCATCAGAGAAATGTTAATTAAAACTACAATAAAATATCACCTCACACCTGTCAGAATGGTTATCATTAATAAATAAACAAATAACTGTTGGAAAGGATGTGGAGAAAAGGGAACCATTGTGGAAAACAGTATGGAGTTACCTCAAAAAAATTAAAAAAAGGAACCGCCTAATAACCCAGCAATTCTACTTCTGGAAATATGTACAAAGAAACCCAAAACATCAACCAGAAATATATGCACCCCTAAGTTAACTGCAGCATTAATTACAATAGCTAAGACCTGGAAGCAGCCCAAATGCCCATAAAGAAATGAGTGGATACAAAAGCCGTGCACATTTACACAATGGAATACTACTCAGCTGTGAAAAAGAAGGGACTCTTATCTTTGCAACAGCATGGATGGACCTGGAGAGTATTATGTTAAGTGAAATAAGCCAGTCAAAGTATGATATGATTTCACTTTCATGTGGAATCTAATTAACAAAGTGAACTAATAAGCAAAATAGAGACAGACTCAGACAGAGGGTGTGATATGGGTGAAGGGATTAAGCAAAGAGGAAAAAAAAAGACTCATTGACACAGACAACGTTATGGTGATTGCCAAAAGGACAGGGGTGTGGGTGGAGGTAGAAATGGGTAACAAGAAGGTGAATGGTGATGGAAGGAGACTTGACTTGGAGTGGTAAGTACACAGCACAACATACAGATGATATAGAATTGTACGCCTGGAACCTATAAAGAAGATTTGCAGATCCTTTTCTCACATCACGGTGATATCAAATGGATAGACTTTGTCAGAGGAGCAAATGAGGGGATAATCCTATCGATATTTAAAGAAAAAGCTAAGGAAGCATTGGATAAAGCCAAAGATGCAAAAAGGGTTTTAAGGAACAAAAAAACAACAGGGAAATCCTAGATGGACATGTGGGAAAGAAGCATTGAAGAAAATCATATTAGATCAACAAGAATCCCTAAACCGTGGTCGGCAAACTGCAGCTCGAGAGCCACATGCGGCTCTTTGGCCCCTTGAGTGTGGCTCTTCCACAAAATACCACAGCCTGGGCAAGTCTATTTTGAAGAAGTGGCTTTAGAAGAAGTTTAAAACATTTGGCTCTCAAAAGAAATTTCAATGGTTGTGCTGTTGACATTTGGCTTTGTTGACTAGTCAGTTTGCCAACCACTGCCCCAAACAAATGGAAGTCAAAAGTTTGCAGATTTAAAGGAAAGGAAAGGGAGATAAAGCTGCCCAGCCTTTCTTCTGCAAAAGAAAAAGTACAGTTTCAGGCAAGAAAACTAACTTGATAGTGATGAGTGAACATGATAAAAATAGTGCATCTGAACCAATAAAAAGAGCAGAAGAAGAAACAAAGAACTTTCTTCAAAACAGTAGAAAACAAAATGATGCCAAAGACCTGTAGTTAGTAAACAAATATTTTATTAGTTTTTTAAAATAGGTTTTCTGACGCTTTTGCCTCTGGAGGCTTTTAAAAAGAAAACTGAATTAGATCCACTTCAGTGTAGACCTGTAAGAAAGAATTTTTTGTTGTTGCTGTTTAGCTTGTCTTTGTTATTCAAATAGGATTTTTTTTTAATGTTCAGTATTATTTCATATTCAAATATCAAAAGAAAAATTCTCGTACTAACTTGCCTTTGTAATATGAATATGTATTAGTACAAACTAACAAAATATGTAATATATAGCCGAAACCGGTTTGGCTCAGTGGTAGAGCGTCGATCTGCAGACTGAAAGGTCCCAGGTTCGATTCTGGTCAAGGGCATGTACATTGGTTGCGGGCACATCCCCGATGTTTCTCATCGACGTTTCTGGCTCTCTATTTCTCTCCCTTCCTCCTCTCTGTAAAATATCAATAAAGTATATTTTTAAAAAGGTAATATATAAAAAGTGGGGGGGGGGGGGGGGACGGGGAACCTCCTGTGATTAGATTGAGCTCACCCACATAACCCAGCATAATTTTCCAATTTCAAGATCTGCAACCTTAATCACTTCTGGAAAGTCCTTTATTTCATATGAGTAACATATTAAAGGATCTGGGGAGCAGAATGTGGACTTCTTCAGGGAGCCATTATTCTGCCAGACACAACGACATTGGAGTTGTATCTTCTTTCCACTTGATAATAATGACCAATGACATAGTGTTACTGACTCAAAAAGCAAGTTTTACGCTACCTACCAAAGACAAAACTAGGTATCTCATCCAGAGTCACAAACAATAAAAAAAAAAAAAAAAAAAAAAAGCCTCAGTGTGTTTGTTAGTAAAGGACACAATTCAGAGAAAAGTATTAGAAATTGCTTATTGTGTATCTTATTTCAATTTGGAGATTAGTGTTATGCTATTATAACAATTTGTCCCTGACCTAAAATCATTATTTTTCTGAAAATTAAATGTTTCAAAACAAAAATAATTGCTGGCATTTTCTCCATTGCTTATAAATCTCTTTAATGTATGATTTAATGAACAACAGCTAGATTCTCATATCTGGTACAATATTCAATCTGTTCCAATATGCTATTTTAGTTGAAGTATAGGATGAAAAATCCAGCTTCACACAGATATGTTAAGGGGGTATTTTAATAACTTTTAAGGTATTCTTCTTTGATATATAAAAAAACTTGAGGTATGGTAGTTTCTTTTTTTAATCTACTTACAAATTATGTTTCCCAGAAATGTTAAGATTGATGAAAAGTTATGTCACTTTGAGTAGAAACAAATATTTTGTTATTTTGGAACATTCTGTTTTTTAAACTTATTTCTACTACTTGAACTACTTCCAGTAGTTTCATTAATCTAAAGAAATTTGGAAAGTAAATAACCTCATTTTAAAATGAGAAAACATTGTAAATCAATTTTTATTTATTTGTCTAAGGTTGACCAATTAACTTGATGTTCATTTTAAGTTGAAACCAAGTGTTCTGATTCTTAACTCTAATGCTTTAGCTTTTATAGGCTACTTTAATAGAAAAGCTAGAGAAACCCTAGCAAAAGACCAAAGTGAGGGCCTAATTTGTCTGGGACATTAAATAATCATCTTTCAGGCTTCAAATGTGATTATATAGAGACCCTGGCAAGGTAGCTCAGTTGGTTAGAGCTACATTGTCCCAATGTGCCAAGGTTACAGATTCGGTCTCTGGTCAGGGTACATACAAGACTCAACCATTGAGTGCATGAATAGGTAGAATAGCCAATCAATGTTCCTTTCTCTCCCTCCCTCCCTCCCTTCCCCTTTCCTCTCTGTCTCTTAAAAAAAATCAATAAATTATTAAAAAGTGATTATATAAATATTCTTAGAGTTTAGGGAAATGCATGATAGTGGTCAAAAAGTACAAACTTCTAGTTAAAACATGAATGAGTTTTGGTAATCAAATGTAGAGCATGGTAACTGTAGTTAACTTTGTATTATATACTTAAAAGTTGCTAAAAGAGATTTTAAATGTTCTCAACACACACACAAAACTTGATAGTTAGGTGAGGTGATGGATGTGGTAACTAACCTTATTATAATCATTTCATAATATGTGCATGTATCGAATCATCACAGTGTGCACCATAATGTTACACAGTATTATAGACCTATTGTATTTTCATAAAGCTAAAAAAATACTCTTAGATTAGCAACTGAATATGAATTACTACATGCTCAGTATGTGAAATTTGTGCAGTAGTGGGGTGGTGTCCCTCAGCTAGCCTGCACCATATCCAATCTGGGATCCCTCAAGGGATGCCTGACTTCCCTCTCAGAATCCAGGACTGCTAGCTCCAACCACTCACCTGCCTGCCCGATTGCCCCTAACTTCTTCTGCCAGCCTGATCATCCCCTAACCATTCTCCTGCCAGCCTGATTGACAACTAACTGTTCCCCTGCTGGCCTGATTGCCTCTAACTGCCCTCCCCTGCCGGCCTGGTCCCCCGCAACTGCTGTCCCTTGTAGGTCTGGTCCCTACCAACTGCCCTCTCCTGCTGGCCAAATTGCCTACAACTGCCCTCCCCTGCTGGCCATCTTGTGACAGCCATCTTTGACCACAAGGGGGGCAGTCAATTTCACTTCCCCTAAGTAGTGTTCTATGGAGAGTTTACTAGCAAACAGATTAAAGGAAAAAAATTAAGAATAAGATATACATTTAGTTTTAAAACCTCTTACTGCTGCAAAAATACATACGACTGTTGCAATAAGCTGAATGAATTTGTTGTATAAAAATTTGCAAATTGCCCTGGCGGCATGGCTCAGTTAATTGGGTTTCATTCTATGCACCAAAAGGGCACAGGCCTGATCCCTGGTAGGGGGCATGCAGGAGGCAGCCCATTGATATTTCATTCTCACATGGATGTTTTTCTTTCTCTCCCTTCTCTTTAAAAATCAATAAAAATACATAGTTGTTTAAATCTACAAATTAACTTTCCATATAAAATGCAATAAACATAAAATAAATTATGTATGGACATTTTATTAGCTGGTTGAAATATGGTTGATTTTTGTCAGTGCTTGATTTGTGAGTAGCTTTGGCAAAAAAAAACAAACTATACAATTGGGAAGAATTTTAGAGTGTATATCAATAAAAACTCTTTTATTACATGCAATAGCTTATTTAATTCTCAAATAGCTATGTTGGAAAGATACTGTTAGTACTAAGAAGGCTTTGGCTTTTGTAGTCACTGCCACATAGTTATGTGTTATGGGAGTAATTTCATTGCCTAAAATTGGGTTTTCACCTTCTAAGCAGTCTTTTAAGCAGTTTTCTGCTTTAGAACAGGAATTTTGTAGTAAATGTTTTGTTTTGTTTTTCTAAATTTTTTTTTTTTTTTTTTTTTTTTTTTTTTTTTAGCAGAATCTGACTTTAGTTTCTATTATAACACTAGTAAAATGACTGGAAAGTCTCTTAGTCTTTATATAAACCTATTTTTTTTTCTTTCTAGAAATAATGTTCTCAGAGTATGGATTTCATTAATTTTTTCCATAAAAATACAGATGGATGAAGGATAATATATATATAATGGATAATTTAATTTTACTGATTTTAGGGGGTGGAGCAGAGAGAGAGAGAGAGAAAGAGAGAGATCGATCACTTTGTTATTCCACTTATTTATACATTCATTGGTTGGTTCTTATGTCATTGACTAGGGATTGAACCTGCAACCTTGCCATATTGGGACAATACTCTAACCAACTGAGCTACTCAGTCAGGGCTATGTGTAAGAATTTTAGGAGTCTATGTCTGAGGACTCAAAATGATAAAGCTGATAATGATGGTGATCATATAGTATATACTTACTAGTTAAGCATGGTAAGCACTCTTGGAGCATTATCTAGGTTCTTTCTTTAACCTCATAAAATATTCCCAAATTCCAAAAGGGGAACTGAGACACTGATTCTCTCCCCCCTACCCCAAAGATCATATAATTGGTAAGTGATGAAGCCATGATTCCAACTCAGATTGTAGGTCTCAAGTGCTTGCTGTCTTTGCCATTAGACCAACAGTCTGCGTTTCTGATCCTGGTTTTACCACTTACCATTTGTGTGTTTGGGCATGTTTCTTAACTTGTTTAAACTTAGATTTTTCTCATCTATAAGATACAAATAAGAGTAGCTGTTCTTAGCTTTCATAACTTTATTAGGCCACAAAAATGTTGGCTGCATTTTGGGGCTTGCGAGGATAAGTCAGGGTATAAAGGGCTCCGCACAGTTCTTGGTACTCAGAGTGCTCAGTAATAACATCTGTGGCAGCGATGATACTGCAATAAAGTCTCTTATTGAGTGCCCAGTTCCTGCCCAATGGCACTTACTACTGCGCAACAATAGTAGATACCATCCTAACTGACTCCGCATTCTGTCTCATGTTAAGCCAGTCCATTATAGACAACAACCAGGAGTAATTATTCCCAAGTTTATTTAGGGTTATATACTCCTTTGTTCAAAAACCTTCAATGCTTTCCCTTTGCCCACTGAATTAAATGAGAATGCAGCCATTTACTTGAGGCTTCTGCTTATTTCTCCTGCTTTATCTTTTCTACACAGAAACCAATAATCAGTGATAAATTCATGTTTTCTAAATCAGTGTTTTACTCTTACCAAAATGGAGTTTTCTTAGGCAATTAGAGCAATGTTTTGTTTTTTTATTTGTTTGCTTACTTATTTACATTCCTATTTGTCTACCTTTGTATTAAGCCATCCCCTGCTTCATTCAGCAAGATTCAAAATACAGGCAGGAATAGCATCTTTACTTCATTCTGTATCCCAAGCAGGACACAGCATAAATT